GGGCTCAAGGGAGCAGGGAAGGCGAACTCTCAGCATTTCTCCTCAACCTAGGAAATTTTGCCTTCTCTATGCTTTGAGCCCACAATCTCCACTGTCTTCTCCAAGAACAAGGAGCTCTTAAATACTTGGTTAGATACTAAAACCTGTTCTACGGGTTCTAGCTGGTCACTTTCACCAATGGGTGGGATTACCATGCTATATAAGGTCACCTTGCCTGCAAAGCTCCTCTCTTCAAGTGTTTTCTTCCATGGGACTGACTGGGCAGGTTGAAGCAGGGCATACTCACAGCAGTAGGTGGGACTATCTGTTTTCCTCTTTACTTCTTTCACCTGCATGTTGCAACTTGCAGCAAGAACCCATGACTCAGTTGCCAGAAAGTGTTAATACTGGGATTAAAGGACAATAAAGAATTCTTCTCTGGGCCTTGTGCCTAAGTTTTGGGTTCCGGCCCAACTTCATCAGAGAAGCTGGCATTAATAGTTATGGTTGCCACTAATAAAACAATGTCTATATTTTTAATTGATACTCTTCCTTGTGTGAATATTTATTTCAGGAATCTCATAAAGAATAGTTATTATTGCCCTAGCTGGTTTTGCTCAGTGGATAGAGCATCGGCCTGTGGACTGAAGGGTTCCAGGTTTGATTCTGGTCAAGGGCACATGCTTGGGTTGCAGGCTTGATCCTCAATGTGGGGTGTGGAAAAGGCAGCCAATCAATGATCTTTCTCATCACTGTTTCTATCTCTCTCTCCCTCTCCCTTCCTCTCTTAAATCAATATACACTGAGTGGCCAGATTATTATGACCACCTGACGTTTGTAGGCAAATTAGCTGTACACTACATCGTATGGGATATGGAAGCTGAAGGCCTGTTCGAATACCTTTGCTGTCTGCAGTTACCAAGATAAAACGTCTCCAATTCGCACAGAAACACAAGAATTGGACAGTTGAGCATTGGAAAAAAGTCATGTGGTCCAATGAATCACATTTCCAGTTGCATCATGCAGATGGCAGAGTGAGAATTTGTCGGAAACAGCATGAAAGCATGCACCCCACATGCATGAGTACAACCCTTCAAGCTGGTGGGGGCAGTGTTATGGTTTGGGGCATGTTTTCCTGGCATGATTTGGGCCCTTTAATTTGTGTGGAACAACGTCTGAATAGCACAACATACCTAAGTAT